GTTACCACAACCTGCGCCTCTCCATTCATGATGTGCCCAGCTCACTGTGGAAAAGCAAGCTCCTTGTCAGCTATCAGGTAATTATGCCCACTACCTTTGGAAACCTCTTCATCCAGGGAAAGAAGGAGCAATGTGTTCACTCTTTCCTGCAAGAGTTCATGCTCCTGCTTCCATTGTAGATCTCCTACATTTCCTCCTCTGTGTGCTAATATTCAGAGTTGGAATAGAGCCCTGACTCCCTATGTCAAACACTATAGTTCCCCGTGCTAAGCTTCCTCAGCTGCATAGCACATCTATAGTCTAATCTTTCTATTGGAACAAATCATTTTCTGCCTCATTGCTGGCTCAGTTGGATACTGCTCTCACCTTTATGCAGAAGCCTCCTGTTTTATCACCCTTTATGAAAATAGCGCATTCTAACCTGAGCCTGTCTGTTTTCTCTTGCAGGAGATCCCCTTCTATCACCTTTGGAGTGGGCTGCAACCCTACTTGCACTGCACCTTCACATTGGAGCGACTCAGCACCAGCACTTGCCAGTTGGCTTGCAAAATCTGGATCTGGCAAGTGGAGGGCGATGGACAGAGCTTCAATATTGACTTCAACATTGCCAAGGTGATAACAAGGGCACAGTGTTGGCGCAATGTCTTGTGTCATACCCTTTGTGCTGGAAAGATCCTCTGGTGCTATGTGGAACTCGCCATGAAGGATCCTCATATAGCATCCTGGAGATTGGCAGGACAGCAGTAAGATATTTGGCTGGGTTGACATCTCCACTGGAGTTCTCTCTATATATATAGTAGTAGCATTTATGCAGGGTTTGGAAATCTTACCTAATTGGATTACAGTACCCATAATTCCACATTTGATATGTTGACTGAGGAAAGTAAAATTTTTAAGCTCTGGATACTAAACACTGTCACATAGAGATCCTACTGAACAGACACAATCATAGAATCATAGACTTGGAAGAGAGGTCATGGGCCATCCAGTCCAATCCCTTGCCAAGAAGCAGAAAAATCGCATTAAAGCACCCCCGACAGATGGCTATCCAGCCTCTGTTTAAAAGCCTCCAAAGAAGGAGCCTCCACCATACTCCAGGGCAGAGAGTTCCACTGCTGAACAGCTCTCACAGGAAGTTCTTCCTAATGTTTAGGTGGAAGATCAGACATTCAAGGCACAACTAAGTCTGGAACGCTTCTCATTTCAATAACCTTTCTCATAAGTTCTTCAGTCTGTTTGACTTTTTTCTTAAAAACATATAGCCAGGATTGTATATAGTTCTGTGTGTGTTCAAAAAAAGCACATGAGCTGGTCAAAGGCTTTTCCAGGTTGGTTTAAAAAAGGAAGATGTGTTCTCACAATATAGCTCCTTGAGTTTTGTCTGTTGCCAGCACCTCTGAATTCATTTGTTCCATCTGTCAGGGAACTGTTTGTAATTCTAGGGTTTTTCCAGTGGTCCTTTTAAAAGAATTGATTTGGTCCTATAGAGGGGAAATGTTTTCATCTCTGAGTTTCTTTTTTTAAAAAACCCGTAAGAGTTGTAATGGTATAGTGCAGAAGTGTAATTTCACTCATGCACTTAAGCACTGTAATTCCAAAAAAAGGAAGGAAGGAAGGAAGGAAGGAAGGAAGGGAAGGGAAGGGAAGGAAGGAAGGAGGGAAGGGAGGAAGGGAAGGGAAGGGAAGGAAGGGAAGGAAGAAGGGAAGGGAAGGGAAGGGAAGGGAAGGGAAGAAGGGAAGGGAAGGGAAGGGAAGGGAAGGGAAGGGAAGGGAAGGGAAAGGGAAAGGAAAGGAAAGGAAAGGAAAGGAAAGGAAAGGAAAGGAAAGGAAAAGGAAGAGGAAGGAAGGAGGAGAAGAAAGTATGAAGTCCATGTATAAATATGTGAGAGGAAGCCACAGGGAGGAGGGAGCAAGCTTGTTTTCTGCTTCCCTGGAGACTAGGACGCGGAACAATGGCTTCAAACTACAAGAAGGAGATTCCATCTGAACATGAGGAAGAACTTCCTGACTGTGAGAGCCGTTCAGCAGTGGAACTCTCTGCCCCGGAGTGTGGTGGAGGCTCCTTCTTTGGAAGCTTTTAAGCAGAGGCTGGATGGCCATCTGTCAGTGGTGATTTGAATGCAATATTCCTGCTTCTTGGCAGGGGGTTGGACTGGATGGCCCATGAGGTCTCTTCCAACTCTTTGATTCTATGATTCTATGATTCTATGATCTCAGAATTAAAAATAATTATACCTGAGGTTGGAAATAAAATATTGTGACCAGTGTTTGTAGTTGCTAGAAAATAGTCCGAGACAGCAGAAATATAATTTGGATCTATGTAATAATAATAATAAAAAACCTCAAGAACTACAGCAACCTCCAGTAATGTTTGCCTTTCTGGGAAACCCCAAGACACAATATTGCTAGTTTCATTAAGCCCTGCTTTGTCAAGTAGAAAGAATGTCAAGCCTATAGATCCCTCGTTCCTTCTTTTGTGTGTCCAGGCTGAAGAACTCTTGGCTTAGTTGGTTTACCAACTAGGATAATAAGCAAGAGCTTGATCCTGAACTATGTTTGTTCTTTGTTTCTTAAATCATGGATTATTTTTCTGGGAATAATGTGTCCTGAGTTTATGTGGAACAAAGTAAACATTCAGGCAATTGCAGCGTTTTGTTCTATCAAAGTAGGTTCCTGGATATAGCAATACAAATGTGCTTGAAAGCATCAGAGTAATATTTGCGAGTGAGTCCAGGAATGACTCAATAATTTTATGCATATAGCACATAATTTGTGGAATTCACAGAACTCCATTTCACTCAATCTGCTCATAACTGACTTGAGTGGAAGCTTGCTTTTCTCCATAGACCTCTATCTTTACATTTTCTTTCAAATTCTTCTTTTATTTGAGTGAAGCAGTAGAGATGGGACAGAGGGGGTTTGGGTGGTCTTTTAGTGTCTTTCCTGTTCCCTTGTCTGACTAAGCAGATAACCCTTTCTTTCTTTGGACATATCTGGACAAAAATAATGCATTGGGGCAGGCTGAAGGGAGGGGGATATTCTCACTTAAAAACTGTGTTTCCAAACACTGTTTTTTTTTTAAAAAAAAAACCATTAAACCAAATAGAATCTGAAAGCAAAAAAGCAACCTCACCAGAAGAGGAATGGTCTCTCCTGGTGCCACCTCCCACCCAGAGCTCTCACTATGAATGTGCTACTTGCCCAGTAAAGCCTAATAGCTACTGTCCTCTTCCCAGGATGCTCGGTTCTCGGACTGGCTGCCCCCAGACACTGAGGCTGGCTCCCCTGCCCTGGTGGGCCCCAGTGCCTTCAAGATCCCCTTCCTCATCCGCCAGAAGATCATAAGCAGCCTGGATGCACCAGGGGCCCGAGGGGCTGACTGGAGAGCACTGGCCCAGAAGTTGCACCTTGACAGGTAAAAGGATTATCTGTATAAAACTGTGACTGGGCAACTACAAGGCTCAGCTAGTTCCATCCAGAGCGTTTGGATCTTGCAGAAATGAATGAATAGGAGGGAGGTGGGGTAGAGGAACAGATGGAGCACTTGATCCTGTCTGGAGGGACAAGAGCACAGAGTTATGTGCTCTATTTCTTCTAGGACAAGGGATGGAATTGGCACTGGGGATCTTGATCTGGATGGTGATTGACTCCTTTCTTTCCACAGCCATCTCAACTTCTTTGCTTCAAAACCCAGCCCAACAGCCATGATCTTGAACTTATGGGAGGCACGTCACTTCCCCAACGGGAACCTCAACCAGCTGGCTGCTGCTGTGGCCGAAGTGGGCAAGCAGGACAGCTCCCTCTTTATGGTTTCAGAGGCTGAGTGTTAAGGCACTCAGAAGGGGCAGCACAGGCTTTCATGGCGATGGGATGATAGGAGATATCTCTGTTTGAAGGGGACACTGCTTTCAACACTCATCCTGCTTTGAACCGGCTTGTGTTCCCCATCTGAGGCATAATGGCATCACTCCCTCTACTCCTTGTGCCAAATACAGCCAGAAGGCAAGCACATTGGGCTTAGTCTTCAGTAGCCCTTGAAGTGGCTACTGCATGCCTGCTCTCCCAATGCCAAGGAAGCTCTGGGACTGGCTGCGGACGGCCTGTCCTTCTTGCTGATGTAGGCTGGCAATGGATTCTGGTATAGTGCCTGGCTTGGTCATGCATCCAGTGCCCTCTTTTACCTCAACATGGGGAGAAGGGGGCAGGGAGGTGGCAAGCACAGTGCTTCTAGTGAGTGCCAGGATAAACAGGTAAGCTTGATCTTGAAGCTGAGATGTCTGTGCCCTTCCCACTGAAGCCCCATGCAGGCAGCCCCATGCTGTGGTAACATAGGAAGTGGGGTGGGGGGAGTAGCTCAGGGTCATTCCAGAGCCATCTCTGTATAGTGGGGTTTTGTTTTGTTTTTTTGTTTTGTTTTTTTCTAGCCCAAGAGATATCCAAGGCCCAGTCCTGTAGGACAGCCCAGCTGTGGGTAGCTTGGTGACACTGGGAGCCCTAGGGGACATGAGAGGGACATGCAATGTAGGCAGAGGGCAGCCCAGGACTAAAGGCTAGGCTGTCCTGGATGACTGGGTCTGTGCCTCCTTAGTCCTTGCCCAGTGTATATGCAAAGGGAATTGTGCGTGTGCGTGGCAGTCCAATCCGTGCAGTGAACATGTGCTGGACCAGGAGGGTCCGTGCCGTATTGTGTAAAGATCGTTTTTTATTCTGTATTCAAGTGCATTCAAGTATTTACACTTGGCCTTATGTACATATAAGCATCCCGCACAATGTTTTGGCGGGCACGAATGTAAATAAATTATATATATATATTGCTACATGGGATTCTTTTATCTGTGCTCACCCTGAACACGCAGAAGGACCATTGCATTTGAAATAAAGACAGATGGAGACCTTGGCTAGAGTTCACAGGCTCAAGAGAGCTCTCCAAAATATCCTCAGTTTTAACCCCCTACATTAGAGTTATCTCTGGCAAAAAGAATAGCTTGAGAATCCAGAGATCATGGCATGAATTTTCTTTATTTCCTTATCTCACTTCCGTGCTTGATTGTGAATCAGAAATCTCAAGAGAAAAGAGTTGCAAAGACAAAACACCACAGCTATCATAACTTGTCTTTTCTCCAGCTTTGCCACAACTGTCTCAAAGAAGGGTGAAATTGCATGTGGTGATCAGTCAGTATGTGGCAGAGGACAATCCAGTGTCCAGCTTACTGAGAGTCAAACAGATGCGTATCTTATTTATTGGCTACAGCAGCTATCAGGGCAGCTCCCTTCCCGGAGCCATCTTCAGACAACAAGAATTTAACAGTACAGTTTGGAGCTAGTTGTGCCACAGTGTCATGAAGCTTCTTTGCAAAGCTGAGAATGGGAAGAGAAAATGTTGGTCAGTTGTAAAAGCAATGTTCATCCCAGAATCCCTCCCTTTCTTGCCAGCAACACAGCATATAAATTGGATGCCACCTGGAAATGCAGGATTTTCAGTTGTTCATGCCCCCCAAAATTGGGGCAACATCCCACTTGATGACATAACCTTTCAAACCCCAAATACCCACAAAAGGAGCAAAGTTAGCTATGGATTATACAGCAATTTAGCAATTGCCACCCACCACCCTTCCAAGCTGCATGTTCCTCTTATAGGGAACAGTATTAGCTCAATTTCTCTCCATCCCTAAAGATACTGTAGTCGTCTTAGCTGTCCCTGCTCATGCCACCCAGTAGGCAACCATGGTATCTCTCTTTGCACAGTATATTCGATTGAAGCCTCACTTGCCCCATAACCCGATGCAGAAAAAACAACTCACTAATTATGCATCTTATAGAGAGTCCCATCCACTCCAACGGTCACCTCCAGCTTCGCCATGCGCTTATTCTCTCTGATCTTTTCCACAACAGCAGCCACTCCAGCTGCGCACACCTTAGCAGCACGTGAAGAGACGGTATGGCAGACTTCTTGTACCATTAACGCATCCTCAGGAGACACAGACAACCCGAGTTCTTCCAGAGCACTACACACGTTTTGGTGGCCTTCGCTGCTGCTTTCAGAACATCAGAATCAGTTTGTGGAGAACATGGGCTTTCTGGGGTCTTATTGCATGTGGAAAGAGAGGGGCTCTCGAACAGATTCTAGTCAAAAGAACTATCTCCCTTTTAGGTCTTTCCCCCAGTGGGTCTTTGTGAGCTGTTGTGACCAGTAACACATTTTGCAAATTGCAATCTCAACTATCAGCACTATGTTCAAATAAATAAATAACTCCAAATTATCATTATAAACAAACACACTCAGTATTCAAACACACTCATTCAGCACTAGAATGAGCCATTAAAGTACATACAATGTATCTAAATTTGTCTGTTTTCCACCAACTTGCCCAGATTGTTTGCTTGCCAAATTAAGAATCTGGGACAAGGAGTAGTGGTTTAGGAGGAGGAGGTGTCAGTTTAGGCAAGAGGTAGGTAATAAAAAGAACAAGATTAGACAGATAGCTAAGCTAAGCAGAGAGACATTGCTCTAGTTTGAACAATACAATCTTTTGCAAGAAAACCCCCAAACTAACATTCTCAGGCATCTGCTCCAATGCGTAGAATCTGCATGGAATTGCAAGATTCTTGGTATAAAGCCAACAGAAACATACTTACTCCTCAACACTCGATAGGAATTTGGTGGGAAAGATATCTTTGGTGTTTAGTATAGATGATTCTCGACCCTTAAAGAGAATATTGTGAGATGCTAGTTCCAGAAGAATGTAGCGTACTATCTCTCCCAAGTACATGCCACTGATGAGCTTCTCATACCTGGAGGAGAGATGGAATTAGTGCCTAGAGACAGACTATGGTGGCAACTATCACCACAGACTCTAACCCAGTGACAATCACTTTTTACTAGACTTATGCACGGATCCACTTTTACCAGTTTCTTTCAGCTTCCTTGGCTTGGTCGGAAGACCGTAACTGTAAGGGCTCAGATGTCACAGTTTCCCATCCATAACGAGACCATGTGGCAACCGATCACAGCTCCTCCTCCTCATTTCGGGAGCATGTGGCATGTGAAGTGGCTGCCACATACTTCTCGCATGGGGTTTCCCTCTAAACCCTTCCTGTTGGGTGAGTTCGACTAGAAGAACGCCATGATGTGTCTAATGCAAACTGTGTCTATTTAATGGGGCGACTGCCTCCATTGCTCACAGTTGCATCCTCGTGCTTAAGTCCAATTGCCTTGCCTTGCCGTCACTCGCTCTCAGACTCAGCTTGATTTTTTGGCTTGGCTTGGTCTCTTGAATCTCTTTGATTTTCCTTTGTTTTCTTGATTCTTTTTATTTAGTGGAACTGACTGGGAGTTGGAAATGTGCGGAAACGGTGGGTGGGGTCCACGCCTGCATGCACATTTGGGGACTTGGGAGAAAGAAAGAGCATCTCTTTCTCTTTGCTCTTGTGGTGTGCTATTTAAAAAAATATTTAGGTGGCTCTGTTGAGAGTCTTGAGTCACCCTTCAGCTTCTTTTTCTCCTCCCCTCTCTCCTCTCCTTCAGAAAATACTTCTAAATTATTATTATTATTATTATTATTATTATTATTATTATTATTAATCCCAGCAAACAAAAAGAACAACACCAATTCTCTGAAAACAACTACCTTTACCTACCTACCTATACATTCATTTCTTTGCCAACTAGCTCTCCCTGTTTATATCTATGTGCTGTGTCTGCCTTCTGAATTTCAAGTAGTAGTAATAATAATAATAGTAGTAGTAATAATAATAATTAGGAGTAGGAGTAGTATTGGCCTACTGTTGCCACTTGCCACAAAGAACAACTACAACACTTAGTTGGGCTTCAATCTGTGGAGAAACTTTGTCAGAACCCATCATCTCCCCTCCTTTCAGGGCCAACGAGGAAATACCTTTTGGGGAATTTTTTAAAGGATGTGTACTTCAGGTGTGGTCATTTTCATCTTGATAGCCCTAAAAATGACAGGAGGGGGCCAATGGGCCAGATCTAGCCGAATTTTCTGACTGCGGAATGAAAACGGCTATCTGGCTACCTGCCCGTTTTTGGGAGGCACACAAAAACGGATATGGGGATCTTCTAAAATCCAGCAAGCAAAAGCCGAAATGCACAAGCCTACCACTTACCTCTGCTGGCCAGCATTGATGGAGTTTGCATCCACTTTTTTGTCAAAAGATGTCATGTAGCGTTCAAGACAACCATCATCTCCAAATGCTCCCCATTCCATGTTGATACACATTCTTCCCTCATCCCCCTCCACAGTGCCAATGTTCCGCATCTCCTCCATGTAGCAAGCATTGCAACCCGTTCCTGAGAGAGAGTATGGGACAGAAATTAATCACCTCACAAATGAGTCTTTCCCAGAAAAGTAATTTTTGGAGTCAATAATAACAATATTAATACATTTTATTTATTATCCGCCTCTCCTGATGGCTCAAGGTGGGGTACAACAAATTCAAAAACAAATAAACATAAAAATACAATAAATTACTAAATTTCATAGATACACACACACACAATCTATGAAAAATTATACCAAACACACTGACATATATTGGTAATAGAATGCAAATGAAAACTCATGATTGAAAGTTGATTGGATAGGTCAGCTGGAAGAGATGGGACTTCGGTTGTGTTTTAAATTCTGACACCTTGTTTAGCTGTCAGACATCTTCCAGCAGGTCATTCCACAGTCTTGGGGTGGCCGATGAAAAGGTCCCCTGGGTGACAATTGCCAGCTGGGTTCTGGCAGGCTGGAGTGGCTGCCTCCCAGGGGACCTCAGTGTCTTAAAGAGCAGATTGTGCAGCAGAAAGTGATCCTGTACATAACTTGGACCCAAACCATGAGGATGAAACTTTGGTCCTTGCCTTTCAGCTACCTGTCAAGAAGCAGTGCCCTGGAGCAACCCAGCTTCTGGCCATAATTCTCCAAAGGTGTACGGGGTGTCTACTTGTGGGAAGCCATTCCTTGGACTTTGAAGAAGGCATCATATGCCTAATCTCACTGCCCATCAAATGCCATTCCTACCCTCTATTCTTAGCTAGGAATTTTGTTGAAGGGCTGAATATAAATTCCTAAAGTAAATAACCCCATCCTTACCAACAATAAGGCCGACCTCGCAGTTGGGGTCCCCATAGGCACATGACATCATGGTTCCTACAGTGTCATTCACTATGGCAACCACATCTATATCAACATCCTGGGGAAGGGGGGAGAGAGAGGGAGAGAGGGAGAAACAGAGAGAGCAGTGAAATGTGTTACCAAGCAACACGATTTTGTATCACCACAGTAACCAGCACAGACCCATAGGCCCTGTCGCCTGGGAAATAGCCCCCCCCCCTCCCCCCTGCCTCCCCTGTGTATATCCCTGGGGTCATCAGCCTGAAAGGAGCTCTCGGGCTCTGACACTGCTATCCAAGCTGGTTTGGTGGAAGGACACAGTGGCGGCTGAGATGGCTTCCACCCTCTCACTGGAATGTAGTGACCTATCAGACTAGATGACAGATGTGTGCGTGTGTGGGAATGGCCTTCAAGAATATAAAGCCCAGCAATGCTTTAACACCACATAAGCAACAATTAAAAAAAAGTAAATGCCACTCAGGGCTGTTGACTATACAAAGGTTTTCACTTTAATGTCATCTCCAGTTTCAAGCCTGTATTCCCCTCTCTGATCCTTATGCCCAAGTGCATGTTCTCTACTAGGTACATGCCTAACTTTCCAAATCTGACAAGAAATCTATGCCTCCTTCAAGTCTACTATACCTCAGTGTGTACACACACACATACACACACTTTATCTCTCTAACACATACATACATATGCACAGTCATAGATCACTACACTGGCATGCTCATTAGACCAAAACCAAGGACAGAATTACATGTGACACATATAAACATGTAACAGACATGAAATTATTTCCTCAGGAAAATCTCCCTTGGGAGGGGCAATTTTAAGCTGAGACACAGGGAGTGGGGAGAAGAGGAATTCCTTGCCTGTTTCTGTGCTCACCTGGTGAGCACACACCTGGCCAGAGAAAGCAGAGAAATGGCAAGTAAGGATATAGTTATGTACTCATTCCTGTGTTCAGATTACCTACTGCACTACCCTATGAAAAACTTGTATGAGGTTGTCATCACATAAATGCATATATAATAGATAGCCCCTAACAGTGTCGCGAGTGTAGCCTTTTATTTTGGTAAGAAGTCAAGCCAAACCTCTGCAAAATCTAGCCAGATCTTAACCCCAAGACCCTGTCATACCGGTGTCCGCTGCATTGCTTCCTTCAGCAAACCCACTGCATCTTCTCCCACACAACCTTGGGCACTGAATCCTTTTGTCCATCTCAGCAAGATGCCCTGTGCAACCAAGAAGAAGAAAAGGTGCAGCTGAAAAGGTGAATCACTTTCCCGTGAGTCCGGATACTATTGTATTACTTTGCACTGTTTATTGTATTTTATGCTTGATTTATTTTATTACAATGTTATTTTATGCTTTTTATGTTATTGTATTGTAACGCACTACTGGGCTTGGCCTCATGTAAGCCACCCCGAGTCCCCTTTGGGGAGATAGTGGCAGGATATAAATAAAGAGTATTATTATTATTATTATTATTATTATTATTATTGTTATTATTATTATTATTACGGTGCAATCTTGGACTCTGACTACAGCACAATGAGGAAAGGGAAACAGAGTACCCTGGGCAGTGCTGTGTGTCTGCCTCTACGGAAGCCCTAGCAGGACCAAGTGTACTTGCTGTGGAAAAAGGACATCCACATTCTGCAAGCTTTGTCTATGCTGAGCTTTGCTCACTTATTTTCAGATTTTGCTCATTTATTTTCAAGCTTATGTTTTTTGCAGCTATAAGGACTAGCAGCATGCCAAGATTAAATTCACCAGTTTTTCTGTGAAGTGAAGAATTGCTGTATCTACTATAATACAGAATGGAAACATCAGAACTACTACATAGGCAAATGTCCTAATCTACTTTTTTTGGTCAAAAGTGGCATTCTCAACAGTCTTCTGAGCTGCACAATTTATAAAATGTATTGGGCAATTTTGTGAATTTGCATTTCATAGTTTTAGTAAATGTTATAAAAGCAACACTGTTCTCATCCTGTTGGAAGAGTTTTCTCTTTTCATCTTGGAGATGGCAATATAATTCAGTCTCCTTTCTCTCCCACATATAATCTGATAGATATATAGATATAGATATAGATATAGATATAGATATAGATATAGATATAGATATAGATATAGATATAGATATAACCACCTGAGTGCCAGAATGTCTCCTTTCTCTCCCACATCTAATCTGATAGATACAGATATAGATCTTGGGAAGTCGGATCTGGCCACGGTGGTCCACGCTCTTGTTACATCCCGGATAGATTACTGCAACGCACTCTACATGGGGTTGCCTTTGAAGACTGTTCGGAAACTTCAATTAGTCCAGCGGGAGGCAGCCAGATTGCTCACCAGAGCATCATACAGGGAGCATACCACCCCCCTGCTATGTCAGCTCCACTGGCTGCCGATCCAGTTCCGAGCACAATTCAAAGTGCTGGTTTTGACCTACGCGTATCTGTCCGAACGCATCTCCCTTTATGTCCCATCTCGGAGTCTGAGATCCTCTGGGGAGGCCCTGCTCTCGACCCCGCCTCTGTCACAAGTGAGATTGGCGGGGACGAGGAGCAGGGCCTTCTCAGTGGTGGCCCCTCACCTATGGAATTCACTCCCCGGGGAGATCAGATCAGCAACATCCCTCCTTTCATTCAGAAAGCAATTAAAGTGGATGTGGGACCAGGCGTTTGGGCAATCTGGCAGATGAATAAGGGACTGTGACGATGGATAGGAATTGGACAAGGTAGAACAAAATATGAACTCTGAGTTGGCGAACGCTGTGTCTGAGATTGGCTATTGATTATGTGATATATTGTTGTTTTTAATTGTTTTAATTGTTGACCATTTAATTGCTGGTTTTATATGTTATTGTATTTGTGTAGGCACCAAGATGTGCCTTTTGTAAGCCACCCTGAGTCCCCCCTCGGGGATTGAGAAGGGTGGGGTAGAAGTACATGAAATAAATAAAATAAATAAATAAAATATAGATATAGATATATAGATATAGATATAGATAAAACTACCTGAATGCCAGAATGTTATTCCATACCTTGTCCAGGCTGACCTGATTGCAGGGAAAGGAAAAAGTGAAACCGAGTGGCAGTCCTCGCCCCAAGATGTTGTGCTTGTTGTGGAAATCCACCATGCAGTTAACAATGTGGCCAAAGAGCTGCAGGAATAAAAGAGGCATGACTCCCATGTGAGGCAGAAATAAAGACAGACAGAAAACAACTAAGTTAGCAAAGGGACTGGCCGTGAACCTAACAGGGTCATTCCTCCCCACAGGCACCCAGTTGTAATGGTCAAACTAGACTGTAGCCTTTCAGCAAAGGGGTCCATCAAGTGATAAAAGGCATAGGCTTCTTACACCATGTGTTTTCTCTCTCTATTACTTCACTTGCATTGATACTTTGTTTTCTGACTGCTTATCAGAAAGTAAACATAGGCTTAATTGGCAAATTTGATTGCTGGGTCAAACATCTTTGAAGAGTTCCCATTGTGAGAGGGAGAAAAGATGAATCATAGGGCATAGAGCAGTGGTTCTCAACCTGGGGTCCCCAGATGTTTTTTGCCTTCAACTCCCAGAAATCCTAACAGCTGGTAAACTGGCTGGGATTTCTGGGAGTTGTAGGCCAAAAACATCTGGGGACCCCAGGTTGAGAACCACTGGCATAGAGGAATACGGATTTACCCGAGTGTCTAGTTTGACCCTATAGTCAAACATAGTTGCCCAGAATAGTGATATGGTTTCAGGGTTGGACTACAACTCTGGAGACCAGGTTTCCAGTCTTCCACTCAGCCATGAAAAAACACAGGGCAAGTCACACTCTCTCAGCCTCAGAGGAAGGAAATAGCATGCCCTCCCTAAACAAATATTGCTGGGGAAAACCTATAATAGGGTCACCCTAGGGTTGTCAGAAATGACTTGAAGGCATACAACGAAAGTTCCCCTTCAATGCTACTTTGTCAGTCCCATATCTACACCTACCTTTTCTGCATTGCTCTGGGCTATATCTGGTGGAACAGTGTAAACTTCACTGATCATGTGCACACCACCTTCCTCTTTGCTTCGCACTTGCACCATCAGCACTCGGAAATTGGTTCCACCCAGATCCAATGCCAGGAAATCACCTTTCTCTGCAAGAAGGAAAGTTTGGGTAAAAGAGGCAACCCTACACAAACCCACTATCAGCTTCAGCTGATGAAAGTGGAACTTACTCTATCCTCATCCCCAGAGCTCACTGTCATGCCCACCAGTATTGGCAACTGCAACAGAAAGAATGAAGGGAAGTATCTAGTTTCCCCCCTGGCATAATGCTATTCAGGTAGAAGTGGAAGGTAGAAGTGGAAGGGAACCTTGGGGTCATCTAATCCATTCTCCTGCCATGGAGAAATCCAGAACTAAAGCATTCCCAAGAGATGTTTTGAAAAATCCAACAAAGGAGGCTCTATTACCTTATGAAATTGTCTATTCTAGGTATTAGTCAGCCCTATGGTGGGACACAACAGCAGCACTACTACCATATAATTTAAAGTTAAGAAGGAAGTTTTCATGAAAATGTTTGGGCTACAGAGAATGGTTGAAGCCTAATTTCTAAGCAACACTAAAAGATATGTGTCATTTTCAGTGAGAGGAACATATGTAGTTGCAATAGTTCCAGAACCAGTAAAAAGACCAGATCCAGGTAAGGCCTTCAGCACCATACCCCTGAGACAACCAGGCTCACACAAATACTTCAGAGCTTGGGCTGCCCTAGATACAGAACTGTTCCCCACTATGTTGCTCCCTGCCCTCACCAGTGCCATCAGGCAAGTGGCGCACATAAGTGGGCAGCATGCGGACAATGGATGTGCCGTGTGTCTCCTTCCCCAGGCCCTTCTCCATCTCCTGCCTCATCAAGTTCTGTAGTTTTTCCAGTTCCACCATAGAAAGTTGAAAAGGTGCCAGGATATCAGCTATCCCCTTCTTCTGGCCTTTAAGTCGCACGGCTACAGCTGCTGCTAAGGCAGCCCCGTATCCACTGCCATTTTCTGACAGGACAAAATGGACAGTACATTCAGGAACCAGTGATTTCAACATTTGCTGCAGGATGTCACGATATCTGGAGGGAAAGGTAATATAAGACATATTGAAGGAGAATGACTAAAAGGAACATATACAGTTTGTCAATTGTCATTGACCTGCCCCCATCCCCCACTTCGAACTGTGACAGCTTCAAAAGGTAGCCAAAAATGTAAAAAACTCATTTCCTGGGATCACAATCAATTCATTTTGATAATGTAGCTTGGGAGACCCCAACAACCCAGGCTTTGGTGTCAGGTGAGATTAGGCTTGGGAGTTATTTAATTGTATCAACTACTTAATGTCTGATAAACTGGATATATGATTGGAATGTGTGGGCTACTGTCCTAGAAAGAATGATACAGCAGAAGAATGAACCAGGTAAGTCTAAAGCACTGAGAGTATGGGAAAAGTTCACATCTATTGGTGTCCTGGTGTTCTTATAAAAGGTGAACCTTTGGACAAACAAGCCATTGAAAGAAGGATGTTCTTGGCTAATTAATATATTTCAAATAAAGCTCTACGCCTGAAATAAAGTTAAGAACTGATGACTGGCCATTGGCTCAAGGGATTGTGGGACTAGTGCACCTGTTAGTTTTGATCTGAATTTTCTTATTCTCAGTACAGTGCCTTACTGTGTCTGACTCTTGAACAGTTCCCCATCCACAGCCACAAAGGCCTTCAGTGCTGATAGTCCTTGAACGGTACGGATATGGGTAAGGAGGCCAGCCAGTCCAGCAGCACAAAGGTTGGCGGATCGGGTAAATACAGCTTGGCATATTTGTTGCACGTGGAAACAGTCTTGATTGCTTGCCACCAGCCCAAGGCGGAAAAGAAAGTTCTTGGCTTTGGCCAGGCCCACTTTGTCACTGTAATTCAAAATAACACACACAACATAAATGATTGGGGGGGGGGGGGGAAGCATGAGCAAGACTCTGCAGTGGTCATTCAGTGACCTCAGTAAAAAATTAAAATCGACTCCAAATGGACATAATTGTCCCTTCTTTTTATAACAGAGTAGTGCAAGTAAGCGTGGATAGCTGCTTTTCTAACTGACATATTACAGAAGTATTAGGATAAATAATAAAAACACATGTAAATCATGGTCTATTGTTAAGTGGAGGCGAGAGTATGAACAGCCGTTCTCGACTACTGGCTATGCCTATCCTTCTTCCCACGTTGTCTTGTCCCTTTAACCATGAGGGATGACTTCCAGTCCACATTGACTAATACAGTGGCAGTAAAGATCACAACACTAGGTTTCTCCCAAGGACAATTGCTGAGCATGAGATGAGACCAAGCCAAGGATCTCATTAAGCAATGGATCCTGGACATACAGCACCAATTGGACCTAGACTGCTCCCCAGCCTTTATTTTAATGAAGCCAATAGATACCTCACCACCCCCACGGCATACCTAACAGACCTGGAGGTGCCCAACACGGAAGGGCTTTTACCCTGGCAAGATGCCATGCCCTCCCATTGGCTGTATTGGAGGGGAGGTATTGGAAGACCCCCTTCAAGGAGAGATTATGCTCCCATGAGCGGATACGTTGAAACAACTGAGCATGTGCTTCTTCGATGCACATTCTACAGAGACCTTAGAACTAATCACATTAAACCATGGCTTCTAAAATATCCAGTGAGCACTGAAAAATATTACTCCACCCTGCTGCTTTCGGACTCTGGCACTACAATAACTTACAGTGTTGCTAAGTTTTGTACTGCAGCACAAAATTAGACGGATGACGGTTGACCCCACAAGGCAAAACCCTATTGGGAATGTAGTTAGAACAGCCTGTTACAGCTGAAATGCTACTAGACTTGTAATGTGCCCCTCCCATCCCTTTTAGTGCCCGCCCAGTGCTTTGACCTCTCCTATCAGTCTCTCCCCCCACCACACACACACACACACACACACACACACACACACACACACACACACACTCGATTCCATACTTGCTACATTAACCTGTGCTTTTAAACTGTAATTTTAATCTGTTTTCTAATCTGTTTTTAAATAACTGCTTCACTGGGGAGCTGAGTTTCCACCTCCCAKGGTGGTTGTGCCCTGTTTCGTGTTGGTCAGTGACCATAATAAAGTTTTGTTGTTGTTGTTGTTAGTCCATTGTCCATGAGGGTAAAAAAACAAAAACGCATAGTTAAACAATACATTTATTAGAATTGATTTTTCAGGAGAACTGAGGGTTTGTTTTTTKTTTTTTTTTTGTGGAGGTTGTAATAGTGGAGATGGGCCTCCAAGTCATTTAAGACTTATGGCAACCCCCTAGGATGAACTTTCTAAGTATAATGTATTGTTGAAGGCTTTCATGGCTGGAATCACTGAGTTGTAAGTTTTTTGGGATGTATGGCCATGTTCCAGAAGCATTCTCTCCTGACGTTTCGCCTGCATCTATAGCAGGCATCCTCAGAGTTTCTGACCTCACAACCTCTGAGGATGTCTGCCATAGATAGGTGAAACGTCAGGAGAGAATGCTTCTGGAACATGGCCATGCAGCTGAAAAAACTTACAACAACCCAGTTTCATAGTATAATTTGATCAGAGGATATTTGCCTTTTCACTCTCCTCTGAGGCTAAAGAATTGCAACAAGGTGCCCAAAATTGCAGCAGGGTACCCAGCCATGTGACCAACAGAGGCATCATTACCAGCAAGGCTCTGCCAGGGAGCTGCCTCTAGCTGGTGACATGGCAATTGATTTGTTGATGTGTAGACTGGGTCAAATCCAGTTGGTTCCACTATCTATTCCTGAAATCACAGTTCCCGTTGTGCTGGATAAAGGGGTGGAAGCAGTGCTTCTGCAGTAAACCAGCATGTGCCTCATGTGCATTCCTCACAGCAGTTGTAAGGTGAATCCATTTTATATGGCCTAGGGAGACAAGTTCTAAGACTTGTTAAGATCTACCGATTGGGAGAGGAGATTCATGTTAATCTAGGAGGCAGACAGGAGGTTGCATTTGCAAAGTTGTCTCCTGAAATGGAGGGGCCGCACTGGCCCAGCAGATTAAGCCGCTAAGCTGCAGAATTTGCTGACCAGGAGGTTAGTGGTTCAAATCCATTGGACGGGGTGAGCTCCCATTGCTAGCCCCAGCTTCTGCCAACCTAGCAGTTCAAAAACATGCAAATGTGAGGAGATCAATAGGTACCACTTTGGCGGGAAGATAACAGCACTCCATGAAGTCATGCCGGCCACATGACCTAGGAGGCATCTACGGACAACACCGGCTCTTCAGCTTAGAAATGGAGATGAGCACCACCACCCCCAGTGTCGGACTTGACTAGACTTAATGTCAAGGGAAAACCTTTACCTTTACCTCCTGAAAAGGAAACGCCTTGAGGGGTACCAGCTCTCTCCACTGGTTCTGTGGGTTCTTTCCCTATCTCTTCATGGGGTCCCATTAAATTGTACTCATTCCATACACAAGAGTGTTTTCAATGCAGGAAAACATTTGACAGTCACTTATAAAACTCAGCCATGGAGAATGCTATATTACTTTCATAATATTTTTCCCTACATGGAAAATAGTTTTACTTAGAAAATGCAAACCATTTGAAGAAACCACAGACCTTTACTGAAGTATGTGAAACAATTAGCTGTCACTTTTTTGTATGTGTTAGATTGTTTTTTTTCAAGTGGTTGGCTAATACATTTTAAAGAAAAGAATCCAATGGCAACCCTGGGGATACTATACTGTTTATCTTATCCATGTGAAAGCTGATTCTTTATGCTTGTCTCTAGTTTTTATTTTTCAAGCTACTTTTCATCTTCAAAAAGGAGATGTCTTGCAGTGATGATTATCGCTGGGACTGTTCATCAAATATGTCACATTTTTAACAAAAGAATTAACCTTCCCCTTTATAACAATTTATCTTTCTCACAAACATAAATACATAATAATAATGCACATCCCAAGACACCCTACGCTACATAGATGTAGAGATGTTTGTGTGTGTCCGGAGAGAGAGAAGCTTGCTCAACTGGATGCGGGAAGGAAAAAGAAAAAGGAAAAAAATTGCAGAGGTGAAATGAAATGCAAAGGTCAACTGGGAGGCAATGCAAAAGAAAGCAGGGAAAGGTGCCTTTAATTGGCAATGAATACCACAGGATTGCATGAGTAAAACATGTGTGATATTATATTGTAGCCTTTTCACAACTTGGTGAGAGGACTACTTTACACATGAACCCTAAGTGCTCATTTCTTTTGATGCTTCCATCTATCATTGTGTTTGATTCTGACAGATATGTTGGCTATATAACTGGGTGTTTTATGACACATTCAAATGTGCCAAGTTACCCCAGCAACCCACCTGTTTCAATGAATGAAAGATAACATTAATTTGGAGGGTTCCTCCCTCCTGGCTGATTGGCCTAGAAGTTAGTAAACGGGCATGCCAAGTCCCGCTCTGCTACTACTGGGATGACCTGGTATCTCAGCCCTGACTCACTTACTCAATGATCTCCACAATGTCTTGGAGCTCCAGGTTTCCTTTGGTCAGCAGGGTAGGAGTCAAGACCCCATTGAAAAGCTCACCCTTCTCAGCCAAGTTGGCCAAAGTCGTGCGGACAAGTTCACAGAGGTACTTGCTGCCAACCAACTTCTCATATCTGGCAGAAGAAGTACAAATGAAAATCAGTGCAGAAAGGGAAGGAATTGGAGTGAAAGCCGTGCATCCTCAGTTGCTGGCAGGTAATTCACCCACGTTCAATTCATCTTGTGCATATGAAAAGGCATGAATGTTTTTCAAAATACCGACTTCTAAGAAAGACAAGTCTCTAAGGCATCATAGGCTCTATCCTATAATAGCAATCTAGTGAAAGTATATAAAGCATTTGCCTACATTTTTATGGTTCTAGGATCCTACTTTCAGGGTTAGATTTTCCTTCTTGTTCTGGAATTTATGCAAAATCAAAAATCTTGAAAATAGTCAGATGGAGGTAGGGGTAAGTTAAATTGCCCGGACTTTAGCACAGCTGGTTAAACTGCCAGCTCTAGAAAATCTTGCTGATCGAAAGGTTGGCAGTTCAACCTTGGGTTGAGGTGAGCTCCCATCATCAGTTCAGCTTCTGTCCACCTAATAGTAATGTGAGTAGATAAATAGGTACTGCTGTTAGCGAGAAGGTAATAAAAGTCACCCATAAAAACATGCTGGTGATTCAATTGGGAAGACATCTACGGACAACAAAGCTCCTCTGCATGGAAGATGGCGTGACAGCACCACCCCGTGGCTGGAGTCAAGCACAGCTTCCAGATGCCGGAGATAGAAAAGATGGGAAAGCCTTTACCTCTGTTTATGTATTGTCTTTCCTTGTTAATTGTATAACAGCATTGAATGTTTGCCGTATATGTGTTCTGCAATCCACCCGGAGTCCCCTCAGGGAGATAGAGTGGAATATAAATAAAGGATATTGTTATTATATTATTAAAGCAAATATAAAAGCTTGATAACAATTCGCTTAAGATCTCAAAAAGATAGGACCAAAATCTAAATACTAAATCTAAATATTTTACTTACTCTTTATACTACAGATTCCCATTGGCTTTTCAAACACTAACATGGGTCTGAATAATGAGTATCATTTTGGGAGGTGTCAGGAACAGGGGGGCGGGGGAAATCAGCAGTTCTCCAGCACATACCTACATGCACATCTCTCTATACTACTTTCCAGAATTTCCCTCTGCAAACATCTGTGCATATGCAGCAAATGTATTTGGCATGTAAAATGCAAATTGGTCCTCAGAGCCTGAGATCTGCAATCCTTCCTCCCTTGGACTTTTTTCAAGAAGATGTTATTAGGTTATGCAGAACAAGTAAAGTGATGCTAACGAATCTGTTGCAAGCAAAGACTTGGCATTCCTTATGATAGAAGAAACAGTGTTGGGCACCACAAGTGTGCCTAACCCAGATTATGCTGCTAGATCCCATTTATCAAGTTGGGCAATAATTGATTATTCCTTTTCTTCTCCTCTTATAATATCTGATTCCTGGAAGTGGGCTCTGTTGTAGGTCAAAGTGTAGCAACATCAAATAGGCTAGTGTTTCAGATTTTCACTGAAAACACCCCCTTCATTCCTTTCACAGTAACCCACCTGTATTTGCCTTGATCTGTAGACTGCTTATCCATTATCTGGTCAAACTCTGTCAATAGGTCATCCAACTCAGCAGCATTCCCAAAAGATCCCCATTCCACATTCAGACACATGCGTTTTGCGTCTTCACCCATGCCGATTATGCGCTGTGTCTCCTCCATGTAGCAGCAGTTAGTGCCAAAATCTATGAGGCACAGGAAGACAGGAGGCAAAGAGAGAAGCCAAAAACAGAGGCATGAGCAATTTTAATAAAAACTTCTGGCTGCGTGGTGATGTGAAAACAAATGAAAGATTCTGCCTCTGCTAAGAGCAAACGCAGTACCATGTAAGATGCAGCATCCATCAGTGTCATAATTCTGCCTCTGACAATGTCTAAATGCCTGCCATTTCAATGAAATACAATGCTTTGCTATCATATGTGTATAAATGAATAAACAAATGGGTAAAACCCAACATGTGGTCCAAAGGCTTCCAGTCAGACAATAACAGCTAGCTTCCTAGTAAAAAGCCCAATGTAAAATAACTATCCTCCTTGCAGAGGACCCACATTACAACTAACACGGACCCAGGTTTTGCTTACCTAGAAGTAGCCCAATGTCACAAGGCTCTGCTTCAGAACTGCAGCTCAACAAGATCCCCACAGTATTATTCACTACAGCAAGAACCTCTATTTGGTAGTCCTAGAGGAGTCAACAGACAGCAAAGAACCAAAGTCACGCTGTTGGCCTTCCTCCCCTTTCCACCCATCTCCATACTCTTCAGCCAAAGCTGGTCCTGCCACTCGTCTCACCTTGCAGTATTGGTTAATGGCTGTTTGGAGCATTTCTGCCACATCACGTTCCTCCATGGCTGGCCAGCGGCAATTCATACTCCACTTGATCAGTTTGCACTGTGGGACACAAAGCAGGGAAGTCTTGAAAACTGCTGCCAGGCTCCCCCAGCAACAGAGGCTCAGCTCTGCTTTCCGCAAGCACCCTTTTTGAAGACAGAATGTATGGAGTAACAACAACACTCACAGCTCAGGCCAACCCAAGTCATTTTCCCATCTGCTTAATAAGAAAGATAAAATAGCACTCCTAACCCCATTCCTGATACAGAAATTGGTGAAGAGTGACAGCTGAATCTCACTTCATCCCTGGGCTGGTGTTCTTCATCACAGATAAGAACAGCATGGTAGCTACAAGGGCCAGTTGTACAGAATCCACAGCTCTACTAGTTAGTATAGCAGAGTCCTCATTAAAAGGTCAAAGTTTCCCCTGTCATTAAGTGTAATTGTGTCCGATTCTGGGGGGTGGTGCTCATCTCCATTTCTAAGACAAAGAGCCAGTGTTGTCTGTAGATGCCTCCTAGGACATGTGGTTGGCATGACTGCATGGAGCACCTTTACCTTCTTACTGAAGTAGTACCTATTAATCTATTCACATTAGCAGGAGCCCCCGATGGCACCGTGGGTTAAACCACTTGAAGGTTGGGTTGCTGATGTAAAGGTTGCCGGTTCAAATCTAACCCTGGGAGAGTGCGGATGAGCTCCCTCTACAGCTACAGCTCCATGCAGGGACATGAGAGAAGCCTCCCACAAGGATGGTAAAAACATCCAAAAAAATCATCTGGGCATCTCCTTGCAGGTGGCCAATTCTCTCACACCAGAAATGACTTGCAGTTTCTCAAGTCACTTCTGACATGAAAAAAAATTGCATGCTATTGAACTGCTAGGTTGGCAGAAGCTGGGGCTAACAATGGGAGCTCACCCCTTCTCGTGGAGAATGAGATCTCATTATTTGTCTATTATTATTGTTATTATTATTGTTATTGTTATTATTATTACTATTACTATTATTACTACTACAGGATGTTGCGACTATTTTCAATGTACAATGCAAGACACTTGGGGTCCCATATTGGGTGGGAGTAGGATAAAAATAAAATAAAAGTGTGAGAAATATAGTCGAGTCACTGTTTTCTCAACATGCAATGGCTTCTTAAGGGGTCTGGCCCGAACAGTAATTTTGCACAAAAGAATAGGGTAAGATTGGTTTTTAATGTATATGTGTTGTTTTGATAATTTTATGCTTATGTTTTGCTTACTCTGTATATTTTGGTGTTTTGTTACATGGAAACTGCCCTGAGTCCCCAAGAGGAGATAGAGCGGTATATATATAAAGATGATGATGATGATGATGATGATTATTATTATTATTATTATTATTATTTTGGTCATCATGTTTATGACCAAAAAAATTTCAAGTCCAACCGACCAGCAGCAAATAGTGTGGCAACAGCAAGAGAACTGGGAGGCCAGATTGCCACTTCCCAGACGCTGCTCTTTTCCCTTTTCTGCCTGGGACTCGGAGGCTCAACCTCACAGCTGTGAAGTAATGCAGGTTTAAAAATAAGTCCTGTGGTTATTCACAGCTGCACAGCAATAACGGCACACAGTTTTTAAAAAAGATTTTGAAAGAATTTGGGGATTTCCTGCTTGCAAATCTTATCAAAATCCATGCGGGGAAAGATTGGGGGAAAAGATGGGATGGAGGAAGGGAGCAGGTAGAGAAATCGAGCTGCCATTTCAGGTTGCTTTTTTCTACGGTTTTTCACAGCTGCACAGCTCTGTAGGTGGCTGAGAGAAAAAGAGCTTCAAAAAGAACCCCAGCCACACCAATTTCCTGCTTCAAAATCCAGACTCCCCCCTGCAAGGGAAGAGCCAGAGAAGCAGGGCGGGCGGGGGAGAAGGAAGAAAAAGACTAGGTAGGTAAAAACATGGCAAAATAGATTCCTTAGCTTTCAAGCCACTTGCATCCGTAATAGTGGTAACAACACTAGACTGATAATATATATAAAAAGAAAATAGCAATGTGGGTGAGTGTGTATGTGTAGTTTTGTAAAAATGCAGAATATTGAGGGGAAAATGCCACTCAGGCCCCATCTATACTGCCATATAATTCAGTTTGAACTGCATTATAATGGTCAGTGTAGACACAGATAATGCCGATTGAACTGCATTGATTCAGTGCTGGTCATTACCTATAAAGCCCTAAAGCGTTTGTGTCCTGCTTATCTTTGTGACCTTATCTCCCTCTATGAACCTGCGCGAGAGCTAATATTTGCCAGAAAGCCATTCTCTCACTCCTACCTCTGTCGCAAGCATGGTTGGTGAGGAAAAGGGAGAGGGCCTTCTTGGTGGTGGCTCCCCGGCTCTGGAAGTCTCCCCCCAAGGAAATTAGATGAGTCTCCACCTTGTCCACCTTTCGGAAAGATCTGAAGACTTGGATGTTCCAATGTGCCTTTGAATAATGGTTCAAGTCTGCATAGCCCTCATCTTTTGGTAGGATCTCCAGCACTTTATTCCCAGCCCCTAGCCTTACAGTTTATCTTGCACTAGCCCTGTCCTGCCCTATTAGTCTCAAATCTGCACATGCCCACTTTTCTCGGCCATTGGTTGTTGTTTGGTTATGTTTTTTGATGTCTTAGATTTTGTTAGGTCCCCGGTGGTGCAGTGGGTTAAACCGCTGAGCTGCTGAACTTGCTGAAAGGTCACAGGTTCATATCCAGGGAGAAGGGTGAGCTCCCGCTGTTAGGCCCAATTTCTGCCAACCTAGCCATTCAAAAACATGCAAATGTGAGTAGATCAATAGGTACCACTCTGGCGGGAAGGTAACAGCACTCCATGCAGTTATGCTGGTCACATTACCTTGGAGGTGTCTATGGACAATGCTGGCTCTTCGGCTTAGAAATGGATGAGCACCAACCCCCAGAATTGGACACAACTGGACTTAATGTCAGGGGAAACCCTTTACCTTTATATGGCAGTGTGAATGGGACCCCAAGTTTTGTAGCATTTGTCATGTGCATACACTCCAACATTGAAAAACTGGGACACTTGGTCCAAACAACAGAAGTGTGGGAATAGTTCTCAAAGAGGAAGGAATGACAAGCTAGAAAAGGCTGCAGCCATTTGCTTTTGCATGACCCTTCTGGGACAGACAAAATGTTATCTCCTTCTCTCCTCTCCCTCCTGCTGAATTAACCAAGTGAGAACTAATTCAGTATTTTGAACTCAGTTTGCAACAAGTGAAATACAAGGAACACAAATGGAGGAAATAGATGGAAAGAGAAACTGGAATAACTGAAAAGCCACTGATGACTAGAAGATCAGTTGGACTGTTTCAGCCAAAGCAAGACAAGCGGAAGGTGTGCATGTGCTGTGTAACTCATTATAGTCCTCAGATAAAGGATAATACGGATCATTTTTTTGTTTTCCACCACCAATGTTGCATTTTCCCCACATTTAATGGACTATCCAGAATTTTCTCTTAAGTCCACCTTTTCTCTTGGGAACTTTTGCGGCCACGTATGAATAGCAAAATGTGGCTCACATTTTTAATTCCATGTCCTCCTTTCCCCTAAACCAATACTCTCCAAGGAAAACACAAGCCACCTCCAGCCTGTCATATAGCCCGCTGCTAGTCCATCAAAATAGTCACCTGGCTCAGTGAGGTATGTTCACAAGGGAAGGGAAAGGAAAAGCCCAGTGGGAAAAACTTCGTGTTGATGTTAAGTCCACTCAAAAACGTAGCCAGGCTCTGGGCCAGGAATTCAAAAACCTGGAAAAACAAGAAAGGACATAGTGAATCCAGCAGGACCACCCTCCCCTACTCCCACACAGCATCTGCTCACTGCTGGACATAATGACAAATAAGCCCCAAAGTTATAGCCTACCAGTATAGAAGCAACAATTTCACCAAGCCTCCCCATTATTTATTAAGTAGTATTATTTAAACCACAGTTTATATACGATATAAATAAAATAAGAAAGGGCTAGTAAGTGATGCTAAAGTACTGTTGGAAATAAGAAATAAAGTTGCATCAAGTTAGCCATAAAGTCCATGATAGAGTTGGGTTTCATTCAGATTAGTTTGAGACTGAATCAAATTAAAGGAGGTATACAAGATGGGAGTATTTAACATACCCCCTGCCCCCAATGTCAGTTTTATGATCTAAAATGCACTAACAGAGAAAGGTGGCACAATGCTACAGTAAAAACAGACCGGTGTGTTTTGAATTTAGGGTGAGATCAGGGAAAGTGTGTTGGAGCATGTAAGGAATCAGTGTGTGTGTGTGTGTGTCAACTGTAAAATAAGATGCATGGAGCTGATTGGTTGGGTTATGACAGGTAGCAGAATGAGACTGGGACTTTTGGTTACTTTTACATTTTTGTTCACGCTTGTGCTATGCAGGTGCTTTGAGCAGAGAGAGAGAAGCAGAGAGAGACAGATTTTTGGAGTGTGCTCTTGCTTTATGAGCTGCTGAAGGAATTTATCCACATGGGCAAAAATAACATTTTAAATCTCTCATAAAATGACATTATGTGAGTTGATGAAACTGATCACATTGTATATATGTTGTTCTGAACTACAAAGAGTAAACTACTTGTTCTTTACTGTTCATCTGCATGGCATATTTTCTTTCTCTGGCAAGGGAGTGTGTGGGCTGACCAAAAATGAACTACACATGGTTTATTTTACATTACACCACAAAGTTTATGAGGGATAGTAGCCATTCCCCTACACCAGCATCTGCTTTTTATGTTACTACATGGTAGAGTTTATTATTCGAAATCAGGGGAGTAAAGTTGGAAAATGTTAATTATGAACAGAAAGATTGCAGAGCAGGGGAAAGGAGTAATGTAGTAGGGAAAATGCAGTGAGCAGAAATCAGATTAACAATCTGCCTAATCTTATATATGTTTATTGAGAGATATGCCTCAGTGTTAAGTGGAGTTTACTCCCACACAATTATATACAGGACTGCAGCTTAAAAGAACAAAAACAGATTTTAAAGAGCCAAATACACAATGAGATGGTGGGTGGAACAAGTGGAGACTGGCACAGTCAAGGAATAGAGGGCAGAATTCCAGAGACAAAGAAAGCAAGGAGGGCCAAAGGAGCAGTTGAGATCACCGTAATTAAGAAAAATAGAATAATTAAACATAATTATGAAAAATATTTGATATTTATTGTGCTAATGAGGACAACTGAACAAAAAGCTATGGTATGCAACATGGGATAGATTAAGCATGCTGAAAAGTTTAAGACAGCAAAAGTGTACCTGCTCCCCATTGCCACTCATAACCTTCTCAGGAAGAGGGAAAGACTTTTTCTTCAGTATCTCTGGCTCCTGCAAGTTATCTGTCAGCTGCAACAACAAGACCTTGGCCTGGTTGTAGTACAGCTCAATGCCAAGGAAATCCCCTCTCTCTGCAAAACAGATGTGAATAGGAGAGTCGATAGTGAACACACAGCCCAAGCTTTGTTTACCCTAGGACACCCACATAACATTTCAAAATAAAGATTTCTAGACATATCGACATTTCTTGGATACTTGTTGTCCTAATTTTAGTATTGATCAGTTTTACACGCACACACATACACAGGATTTAAAGAATTCTCACAAATGTTTTTGTTCTCAGTGAGTCTCCCAGGTTTTTCAAATGATGGCACATTTCGAACAAATTTCACAAAGAGATATTTTTGCATATACGTATATTCCTCACCATATAGATCTATATCCCAGAAGAAACTGGGCTTTCTACACAAAAGTGCTTATATTCTGAATTAATACAGAGAAACACTTTGAACATTTCCCAGCATGAGGAGTGTCTGCAAACAAGTGCATAAACGCACCATACACAAAATAAGCAGTAGTGGATTTTTTCCATCTGGAAGGAGTGACAGGGGTACTCAATGTTCATAATTTAAGTAGGAATTTCTGTTGCTAATTCAGAGTTATTTTGGACACATTTTGGAGAAAGTCCCATTACAAGCAAGGTAATGGCCAACCCCTCCATCCTGATTCCAGTGACAGCCTGCAATCCCATCCCAGGCTGTCGGACATTCAAACAATGCCAGCATCCATGAAAAATCATCCCATTAGGAAGAAAAATATCAGGCAAAATCAGGTTATCCAGATTTAGGAACATGCACAAAATCAACTAAAGAAATACCCCTTTACTAGATCCTAGAAATAAGGGTATCTCACCATCCTAAGAAAATCATGCCTTCTAGCATAGAAGAAACTGTGTGCATACTTACATGCATGCACACCTCCATCTCCTACTTTTTGAAAACAGAAGTGCCAATCCTTGTGTGGGAGATGAGTTAAGATATAATACCTCACTGAAAATTATGAGCAGAAAGTGAAGCATACAAAGGAAAACAGTAAATGGGAGGTCAACTGAAACAACAGATATCTTTCTCCATTCTGCTTCTGCAGCGTTAACAATGGACTTTGTCTTGCCTCTCTTCCTTAGCTACAGTAGACACAATGGCAACTGACTTTTTTAAAAATGATGTTCATCCTGAAGGTCCTTTGTATTTACTAACATTTTGATCTGCAGAATTCAGAGAGGAAAATTTTCACAACATGAAGGTAAACATGACCTCCTTCTAACATCTGCATATTAAAGGGGTAGTAATGGTACAGCTGTTTCAAAAATTGACAACTCTAGTTACCACACTGAGATGTAAAGAATCACTTCTCTCATTTTTATGTTCAAGAATTAGAAACTGGAAAAGCTTCCCCTCCACTTGTAACACAGAAAAATAGTTCATGTGAGTCTCCAGAGGGTCTTTTTATATTTTATAAAATCATGTTTGCACAAATTGGGTACCTGGGCTACAATAAGCACTGCCCTGCTACATCAGTTTTTTTTTTTAAAAAAAACAAACCTTTTGCATATGTGATCAATGTGGCAGCCCCTCTGTGCTTGCTGTATGCATGCCATTTAGCTTCATGCACAGACCCATTTTTTGCAAATTGCAAAAACTGTAACACACACACATGTATGGATATATATATATATGAGACGCTGTTGTGTCAGCTCCACTGGCTGCCAGTTTGCTACCGGGCACAATTCAAAGTGCTGGCTTTAGCCTATAAAGCCCTAAACGGTTCCGGCCCAGCTTATCTATCCGAACGTATCTCTCCCTATGATCCCACCAGTGACTTGAGATCATTGAAGGTGGCCCTGCTCTCGATTCCACCTGCTTCACAAGCACGTCTGGCGTGGACGAGAGAGGACCTTCTCTTGGGTGACCCCTTGGCTATGGCACTCCCTACCTAGGGATATTAGATTGGCCCCCTCCTTCCTGACCTTTTAAAAAAAACTGAAAATGAGTCTATTGTCGAAGGCTTTCATGGCTGGAATCACTAGGTTCTTGTGGGTTTTTTCGGGCTATAGGGCCATGTTCTAGAGGCATTTCTCCTGACGTTTCGCCTGCATCTATGGCAAGCATCCTCAGAGGTAGTGAGGTCTATTGGAATTAGGACAATGGGTTTATATATCACACCTAGCTCCAGCAGGGAAGAGCTCCTTGCCCCACCCCAGCCATTCCACAGATATATAAAACATGGCCCTATAGCCCGAAAAAACCCACAAGAACCTAGTGAAAATGAGTCTTTTCGAGCAAGCCTTTGGAACCTCATTATAACTCAGACAAACTTGAATTGGAAAATGACCTAGGAATGGCCATGAGAATGGAACGGATGAGGACTGAACATGAAGACATAGTTTTAAAAATGTTTATTGCTCGCTGTTGTTATATTTTAAATACTTGTGATGTTTTTATTTTTTATTAATGTATGTATTTTATATATGGCATCGAATTGTGCCGACTGTCCGCTGCCCTGAGTCACCTTCGGGCTGATATGGGTGGGGTAGAAATAGTGTAAATAAATAAATAAATAAATAAATAAATAAATAAATAAATATAGTATTTATTGTCATATTCTTCAGCTGGAGGTGAGCAATTGCAAGAGTGAGAATAAACTATCAATGAGAATCAGTAATTTAGGAAGATTCATTCACATTCTCAGTGTTGCCTCATGTCTTTAATCTCAGAAATACAATCTCCTGGAATCGTGGATGAAATGAAGATGGATCTTTCCAAGGAATGTGACACTCCACACACATGCCATCACCAAAATCCTATTCATGAAATGAAAACACTGTAGACTCCAGACAATGCTTCTCTCTCTGGCAGTTCTTCTATTTTGGAGGGAAGGTATATTTTCACAATCAGTTTGCTTTCGATCTTCCTAAGATTCAGATTCTGTGTTGCCTGTTGACTAATGGCAAACCAATGAATTTTATAGGGTTTCCTTAGACAAAGAATATTTAGAAGTGATGTTTGCCAATTCTTTCCTCTGAAATGTAACCGAGAGCAGCTGGTATTCGTTGGCATTAATATTGCAATGATGAAAGCCATCTAGACCATAGCTTTGAGTGCAAAGATCAAAATAACCACAGTAAATCATACTTACCAGTATCATCAGGCATGGCACAAACATAAGAAGGCAACATAAGTAAAGAGTTGCCTTCTTTAACCTTCTGCTTTAGGCCCCTCTCCATGGCAGCTAACATGGCATCCTTCACTTGTAGAAGTTTCTCCTTGGAAAGGTAAAAATTTTCGATACGCTTCTGGATCTGGTCAGAAACAGGAGAAACTTTAGAAGAAGCACGGCGAGGTGATAGGCGGTGAACAGGGGCCACTTCTCTGGCTTCTATGTCAGAATCTAAACCTGTCTTAGAAAAGGATGCAAATGAACTAGTAATATTCGTCCTTGACTTGGGGATGATTTGCAATTCCCGGGAACCTTGTGCCCCGGATGAATGTGACATGGCAAAAGACAGAAAAGAGGAACTGGCAGCCTCATACTCTTGTTTGGGACTTCTGAAGGACTCTCTTGAAGGCCTGCCAAAAGTGTCCATCTCAAAGGGATCTATGGCTCTAGGCGCAGTTGTGTTAAAAGCAAATAAGGTGTTGGAGCCATGGTGGGAATCAGTCGCATCTAAAAGAAAGGAAACTTTACGCCTGTCCTCAACTGATGGGTCTAACTCTGTTGAGGTATTCAGCATAAAGGAAACCCTGGAAGGTGGACTAAAGTCTGAAAGCCTGGATCCAGAAGTATTCGAACGTGACCTGACATCCTTTGGAGTGCGGCGGTCTAGACCTGACATGGTGTCAGTCCCCAAAGTGATGTGAAATCTCCAAGGAATGGAAAGAGTGGGAAGGGGACAGCCCTATGGGTATGACACTTGGAAGCTAACTGAGATTTAGGATGGGTCAGGAAGTGAGGGAGAAGGTGGGTGGGCCAGCTTTAAAGCCGCGTGGGCAAGGCATGAAGTGTCTCAGGGCTCATTGTTGGAAAGACATTGTGGGCAGGAGGTGATGGAGATGGGCCACGAGGAGTCAGGAGGGAAGAAAGTAGAGAGAGCCAGAGAAATGGAAGGAGAAGAAAGAGAAAGTGGTTGGGTGCAGTGGGGAGGAGAAAAGGTGTTGTTCCAGAAGGCAGTTGGAAGGACAGAGCAGAGAGAACAGAACGGAAGCCCAGAGGAGGAGGGGGCCGGAGGAATGGAACCCAGAGTCACAGAGTCACAGCGTTCTAGAGAAGGCCACCTCACTGGCCACAGGTCCCAGCACACACTAAGAAGACCATTTTAAATGTCCCTTAGTGGCACATTAAGAGCTACTTAAAGAATTCAGTGGAGAAAGCCATGGTTTCAACCATAGCTGTGTCTGGCCATCAATGTATTGACCCCCAGAGAGAGAGAAACAGTAATGAAAGCTTGTGCTTGTTCTGGCTCAGGGTCTTATTTTGTATGGGGAAAATGATTTTATTTATTAATGTCGGCTTGTGTGTCAGCCTTCGCATAGACACAGTTTTTCTGGGACAAGGAATCTTTGAGATGTTTCAGACTTCTAGAAGCCCTAGCCAGCATTTGTTGTGGAAGATGCAGGTCAAAACTATAGTTTCCCCAGGTTACATAATATTAGCTAGGTAAAATTACACACATATATGGCCTTACAGGAACTGTGGTTCAAACACATCTGTGGAGTGATAGTTGTCCACCCTGATCCAGATACTAGCAAGAGGACAAACAGCAGCTCTTGAGGCTATTTGGGAAATGGCAGTTGGACAGCAGTGTTTGTTAACCAGGTTTGTGGTTTTACAATCTGAACATGTAGCCAGGACACAACTGGCTTGAGAGACGTTCTCTTACCCTTGGGTCACAGTACTGGCCTTGCGAAAGAGGATCTTGCCGGAGAGCATTCTGCTGGGAGTTCATTGGAATTGGAGCTCAGACTCTGGAGACTATAAGGAAACAGGAATTTAGGTCAGAATTTAGGACAGATTTTGCATGCAGAGGTCTCCAGTCCCTCAGTAGAGTTGGGGGAAATTATTTTTAAAATGCCAGGAAATTATGATAAATTGGTGTGTAATCTGGAACCTACAGTTCTCACAATTTCTTACCTCTTGCCATATTAGTTTATTCTTCTGGGATTTGAACACCCACACATCTAGATGTCCAAATACCTTCTATCCCTGGTGCAGGTAGAACTGAATTAGATGAACCAATGGTTGGGTTAAAGCAACTTTCCATATATTTTTTCTGGTCATGCCCATTCAGCATGCCATTCTTGACATCTGAAAATCTGTCCACATTTGTCCTTGGGTCATATTTCAGAATGTTGAGACTCAACTAGACTTTTCCTGCATCAGATTAACATGGCTACTGTTTTGGAAAGTATCCTATCTCCTAGAAAGTCAGAATTAAAAGCTCAACAGGAGTAATGAAAAGTACTGTCTTTGTGGGTTTGTGTTGGAAATGACTGAACAAGAGAGGGGTCTTGTGGTTGTGGTAAACAAGTCAATTAAAATGGCAACTGTATTGTCGAAGGCTTTCATGGCTGGAATCACTAGGTTCTTGTGGGTTTTTTCAGGCTATAGAGCCATGTTCTAGAGGCATTTCTCCTGACGTTTCGCCTGCATCTATGGCAAGCATCCTCAGAGGTTGTGAGGTCTGTTGGAAGTAGGAAAAATGGGTTTATATATCTGTGGAATGGCTGGGGTGGGGCAAGGAGCTCTTCCCTGCTGCAGTTGGGTGTGAATGTTTACCTGATCACCTTCATTAGCATTTGAAGGCCTTCCTGAGCCTGGGAAAATCTGTTCCTGGGAGGTGTTAAACTGTGCCTGGTTTTTTCCTCTCTGTTGTTTAGCTGTTATAATTTTAGAGTTTTTTAATACTGGTAGCCAGATTTTGTTCATTTTCATGGTCTCTCCCTTTCTGTTGAAATTGTCCACATGCTTGTGTATTTCAATGGCTTCTCTGTGTAGTCTGACATGGTGGTTGTTGGTGTGGTCCAGCATTTCTGTGTTCTCAAATAATATGCTGTGTCCAGGCTGGTTCATCAGGTGCTCTGCTATGGCTGACTTCTCTGGTTGAAGTAGTCTGCAGTGCCTTTCATGTTCCATGCAGGCGAAACGTCAGGAGAAATGCCTCTAGAACATGGCTCTATAGCCCGAAAAAACCCACAAGAACCTAAAATGGCAACTGTCAGAGATAAGCATAGGGCTAATTGGGGGAAGGACTGAAAGTAAACCTGCCAATATGTTAATGCTACTATAGCAATAGATGGTGTGCTCACATTTCAAATACTGCATATAGTTCTGGTTGCTGTGCCTCAGAATGGAAGTTGTCGAGATGGAAACAGTATAGAAAACGACAACAGTCAGGGATGTAGCAAAGGTTGCCATGCTTGAGTGTTTTTAATTTAGAAAAAAAACACATAATTAGGAAGACACGCTGAAGATGTAACAAATGATACATGTGTGGGAAAAGTGAACAGGGAGAAGTTTTTTTCATAACACTAGAACCTAGGGGCATCCAATTAAGCTAAATGGTTGGATATTTAGGACAGATAAAATGAAGTACTTCTTCACACAGCACATAATTAAACTACGAAATTCAGTATGCAGTGAGATTATGAGAGCCAGCATGGTAGAGTGGTTTGAATGTTGACTAGGTGCAGGATTTCAATCCCTCTTTGGCCATGGAAACTCACCAGGTGACTGAAACCACATGACAGGGTCGTCATTACTTGGAATCTACGTATGTTGAAGGCATATGATAACAAGATATAGTGATGGCTTCCAACTTGAAAGGGGAGCATTAGACAAAAATATGGAGAATATGGCTGTCAGTGGATTCTGTTCACAATAACCACATGCTACTTCAAGGGTCAAAGTGACTATGTCTTTGGGGGAACATGTGGACTCTCTTGACCATCAGCCTGGCCACTAAGGGTAATTTGATGCTAAATATGATAGGCTTTTAATTTGACACAAGATAATTGCTCTTATTTTGTTATGTGATTTCAGACTAATAAAATGTTCTAAGCTAACTTTACAAGCAAGAAAGAATGAATTTTTGGTTCTGATTTATCTGAGATGAGCAACTTCCAGGAGTTTAAAGATCCAAACTGACACTCCCCAAAACATATACTTGGACATGGAAATCCATTGGGCAACCTTGGATAAGTCATATTCTCTCATCTTCAAAGGAAGGCCATGACAATCCATCTCAGAATAAATCTTGCCAAGAAAACCCCATGACTGGGTTGCCACAGGATGGAAACGTACTTGAATTACTACAGTAACCAAGACATTGTCCATGGACACAATCCCAGACCTTGTCCAGAGAAGTCTGGTAGCTGACTTTGATGGGTGCATTTGTCTAAACAGAATAGAAGCCCCTGGGCCAAAACCAACATTTGGTCCAGGGGGTTCTATTCTGAAAATAACAGCCAGCGTCCTAACAAAAAGCCAAATCCAAAATAAGTGTGATTTTTGAAGAGCAATCACATTGCTACTGGCATGGAGCCAGCTTTTGCCTATCTATAACTAGCCCAACATCACATGCCTCTTGTGTCCCAATTGCAACTCAGCAAGGTGCCCACAGTATTATTCACCACAGCAAAGCCCCCATGATAATGTTACCATAAACGGAAAACAAATTGAAGGCAGACAACAATAACAAAACTACATGGATCTCCATTCCAGCACTCAACTACGGTTATGCTACCACCACATCTGCAAATGTGATAGAGGCAACAAGAAAGCTCATGGTATTGTTGCTCATTCGTTCAGTCATTTCCAACTCTTTGTGACCTTATGGATCAGCCCACGCCAGAGCTCCCTGCCAGCTGTCACCACCCCCAGCTCCTTCAAGGCCAATCCAGTCACTTCAAGGGTGCCATCCATTCATCTTGCCCTTGATCGGCCCCTCTTCTTTATCCTTCCATTTTCCCCAGCATAAATGTCTTCTCTAAACTTTCCTTTCTTCTCATGATGTGGCCAAAGTACTTCATCTTTGCCTCTACTATCCTTCCCTCCAATGAGCAGCCATACTTTATTTCCTGAAATATAGACTTGTTGGATCTTCTCGCAGTCCAAGGCACCCTCAGAATTTTCCTCCAACACCACAGCTCATGGTGTCACCCTTAAAACAAGGTGCATCTGCCCTGTTTATAACAAAAAATCAGGGCAGATTATTGTATTTGTAAATGAAGTATACACACAGCAGGCACCTTATTTTTAAGGAAAAGTACAAATTTTGTCGTGGTTGCTGTAGCAACTTTGGGCAATGTGAGAATCTGCAAAGTGGGCTACATATGTATTACTCCTGTGCTTAGATACCGTAAACATACAGTTCTTAATTCTAGCTCCAAACTTTTTCATAGAGAGCCATTGGTGTCAGCCTTTATCTGAGCCTCATAACTTGCATCCAGCGGGAGAGCAAAGCTTCACACCTCAGTGAAACACAGGGTAGCTGCAATTATCCCCAGCTCTACCAACGTGCGGCAATTAGCAGCAAATGCAAAACACAGTTAGATAGAGTTACATTGCTATGCGCACCCTAGGACATAGATAGTGCATAGCTAGGCAGAATTATTCAGTCATCCTGTTGCAGGGTGATCTGGCTCATTAAAGCCTGTTATTAGGTGTTTTCTATCATAACTAGTCAATTATTATAAAGAATGAAATAGAAGAAAGTTGCAACAAGGGATTTTTGTGGGTACTTCACTCTTCTCTCAAAGGACTTGTGGCTCATGCTACTGTTATCAGCTGCAATCAGGTTGACTTTTACTTATGGCAATTCTATGAATATCAATAGCAGCCTTGCTCAAATGTTACAAATTTTGACCTGTGGCTTCCATCACTGAAGGCTTGCTTACACTTGAAAAGAACCACAAATGCTCCCCAAATGGAAGGCTAACTGTCCCCACAATACACAGCAACCACTAGAGTGTATCACGTTTTTTTGGTCTAAATCTAACTTTGTCCTGCTTGGGGCAAATTTGGGGGACATTCCAATGTCTCAACTGGACACCTGCACCACCACCCTTTTCCCATGCCGCCACTCCTCCAAGGCAGCCAAAGAGCTTTTTGGAAGTACCTGCTTGCTGCAGTACCTCTGCTGATATTGTCAGAGGTGCCAACACAACCAGCAAAAAGGAAGGGGGGTCACCCCCTCATTTTTGCTGGTTGCAAAGACGCTCTATCCTGATATCAACAGAAATACTCACAACATGGAGTAGGTGACACACAGTGGAATTGATGCACTCCTGTTTGAACAATGGGCCCAAATCCAGGGCTGCTTTGAGGCCCAATGTAGATGAGACCTGAGTCTTCATCTTTTCCTACTTCATTCCAACTTGACAAACATTATTGTCTTTTTAGTGAGTCATATATTCTTATGATAAGACCAATAGTCTCTGGTTAGTCAAGTTGGGTTCCAGGAAGACCACATGCTTCATTTGATCCAGAACCTATTTGTTTGTCCTTTTGGCAGTCTAGCGATGCCACAAAACTCTCCTCCAGCACCACATTTCAAATAAGTTGATTCTCTATCTTCATTTTCTACTTTAAAGCTATGTTACTCATCTGTGGTTATAATTTTTGTTTGTTTAAAGTTCAACTGTAGACCTGGAAGGCTGGCTGTCTCCACAATGCACAGCAACCACTAGAGTGTATCACAGGGGTTTTTTGGGGGAGGAGGGGGGGTTGGTCTAGTGAAGACTTATCTCTTCCAGCAGGCCTACCCAGAGAGTTTTAATGGTTAATTTTAAACTCCACTTTAAGCTTTCTTTTCTTTCTTTCTTTCTTTTTTTTTTTTTTTGGTTTTGTGTATTTTGATACGTATTTTATGGAGGTATGTTTTAATATGTGTATTTTATGGGGTGCCTTAAAATTATTATGTTTGTTTATGTTTTAGGAATGCTGTAACCCACCTTGAGCCATGAGGACAGGCT